AACGCTTAGTTTTTTTGTCTGTTTCATTCCACAACCTTGGTTCATTGAAATGTCATTATTTTGAGCAAAAAGGCATGAAATTCATAGAAAGCATGTTCAGGGAAAACTAATGTCCTGGTAATTCAGTGCTTTGAAGCCACTGACGTGAGAAATCAGGACATTTTTCAGTATCTGCTTTGCACACTTAGTGTGTTTTGTGTGTATTTTAGAACAATTAGAATGATCTTTTCTTACTTCCTCTGATTAAGCTCTCCAAATAATTAAAAATTTCTACAGTAAGTCAATTTACAGAGAACAGACTAACACTAATTCTCTTATTTTTTGAGCAATAAGGCAGGTGACACTCGTGGGGAATGCTGAAACTACAGATAGGAAAACTGAAGAGTGATTTGCAATGGGCATTAGATTTACCTTCTTTTTATCACATCATACACGTCGTGTTCATTAAAGTGAACATATTGTACACTTACAGGCAATTTCGCAGTGTCAACAAAGAAAAATACCTCGAGTGTGAGTAGGTTTTTGTGTAAAGGAGGTCAGATAATGTACCCCCATGTCTAGGGAAGGGAATGCTGTGGAAGATGTTTCCTAGAATGGAAATTGTGTTCATACGCTCCCTGTAAAGAGAGCAGAGCAAATCCTACAAGGAACAAAAAATTATAGTTTAGGAAACATAATCAGTTAAGAGCTTTAGGAATCTGGTAGTTAGGTGAGTTCAGCCCACCAAATCCTGCTCTGCACAGCCCCAAATCTTGGCAGGTGTTCCCAGGGCAGCACCAACAAGGGCAGATTTACTGTTAATTCTGGATATTGTTAGGACACTGTGCATGGATGGGATGGAGTTGTGTGTGCTAAGTCCCTAAGGTCAGTCAAAGTTGTCTGTTTTGTGGAAATGATGTACACAACCAGGTTCTTTGTGGAGGGACAGAAACTCCTGATGAGGGTCTTGTGCTTCCCCAAGGTGAAGTGAGGAAGGATTTCAGCCCAGTCAATAGGACAATACCTGGATGTCACATGCTACTAGATTCCCCCAGGTTTTGCAGTAAAGTGAGCAGGCTGTGTGACACTCATGGCTTTCTGTAGCATTGCATCCCACCCCAGCCCCAGCTTTTACTGCAGAATGTTTGGTCCAGGGCCAAGACAGTCAGAAGCAACTGACAGATAACCTGTTTGTAAATGAGCCCTGCTGGTACCAGCAATGGGGACTCTGCTGTGCTCTTTTCTCTCCAGCAAGAGCCACTGAGTTAGACTTTTATTTTCTCCCCTGGAAAATATGGGAAGCAAAGCTCCAGCAAGGCCAGAAATATGTTGTATGTTTGAAATATGTGATGGATAAGCAAAAGTCAATCACTTACCTGACAAAAGCTTTGTAAGACTTTCACTCTATTTAAAACAGGGACAAACTTCCCACTAGCTTCATTATGCATGAAATTACAGTCCTGTCCTGCAGCATCTTCCCATCCCAACTGCAGGCAGGCTCATATTTGACATAAGTCTCATATTTCATCATCAGTTCCTTTGATAAAACTTGTACTAACTATATTAAACATGTAATAACTTGACACAGGAGTGAGAAATGGCAGGAAAGTATTTCAAACACTTTTTTTTGATTTAAACAGATTCTCCTCTCTCTAAACACTGCTTCAGTGTTGGGAATTTTCCACGTTCATCTTTCATACAGGTCAAATAAAAATGACTCAGGTGTTTAACAAAAAAAAGTTTATTACCAAAATACAATATTAAAGTCAATACGTGACAAACTCCTGTAAAGCAAAATAAATTATTCTAACATTGTACAGTATTTCAGAAGGTAGTTAGAGTAGGACTACAGACTTTGCTTCAGAGTTCCAAACAGTCATCTATCAGGAACACAATCCTAGAGAGCTTAAGGCATGCAGCTTAATGTGCTGGATAATTGTATAAAACAAACCTCATCCTAGTCAGTAAGATACAGTACAGAATTAACTGCAGTCTTTACATGTCAGTCTCCTAAATTTCTGGATACTTTGGCTATAAAAGCAGTGCCATAGTGTTACAATACCTTTCCTTACAAAAATACATGTACCCATGTCCATGAATATCAAATGCAAATGTAAATCTCTATTAAATATCTCTTAACAAATGTTCCTTTGAGCACCAACTGTACATTGCTTAGAATGATTAAAGAAGTGCTTCTGAAAGAGGAAAATACAACAACTCTGACCAGATCCCGCTGCATTTCCCAGGCCAAGCATGAACTGGGGAGATGAGATTTGCACAGCCCAACACGAGTGAACTCTGCTCTTCAGGGAAGCTCAGGCATTTGAAACAAAGCTCCGTGTTGCAGTTTGTAGCACAGAATAAAATCGAATTTCAACAGCCAGCACATGGATAGCTGATCAGCTGGGAGTGCTGGGACAGAACATCCCAAACTACTTTGAAAGCTTAAAGAAAGGGGAAAACAGCAGTGGGAGTGACTTTGAACTGTGCTTGAAACCCCTTGCACAACATGCAGCCAAGCCAAGCACGCAGGTGTGAGAGCAGAGGACCTGAGGAACAATGTGCTTTCAGGAAAGCTCAGTCTGTAACTTCTTCACATGCACAACCTCTGACAGAGTCCCTGGGAATGGGGAGTGGGTAACCAATGCCAAGCTAAAAAAGGAATCAATCTCTGTGCATATGGTAGAGAATGCTTTGTTGGTGTTTGTTAGGATTGACAACGGTTTGTAGCTTTCCACTATCTTATAGGAACACATGGTCAAAAAGCAAAAAAAGCAACAAGATGGCAAAGAACAACTGTGAACAGACACATCTTTAGTAATGCCCTGACAGTGACTCCTGGAGCATCACACAGTGCAGCAACTGTGGCTTCCACAGACACCAGAGCTGCTCGTTTTGGCTCAGGGGTACTCACTTCTCGAGTTTGGTTCACTGCCACCTCCTCCTTAGCTTATCAGTGCAAGTTTCTCACTTGTTCATCTTTCACTAGCTGAGCAACTTGAAAAGAATCATCCCTTTGCACAAAAATAACAACATGGTATATGTTGTTTCTGTGAACACTGACTGGTGGTTTAGCATTCCTATGATCTTGCTGTCCTTTGATTTTTCCAACAAATGGGATCTCTGAATGAGAAGGCTGAGATATATTCCAGATAATGTAGTATTTTCACATTACTTCCATACTGAAGGTAAAATATTGGTGTCAGCAAGTATGAAAATCCCATTAGAAGTTCACTATCTCTAACTGAATTTGGATCATGCAAATAAATAATGGTTTTTCAAATATAAAATCTGTAGAAGTATGAAAAATAATCTATACTGAAAATAATGTATACTTAGCTTCACATATGCATTTAAAGTTTCTCAAATACCTGACACAAAAACGCTTTGCCCATATATCCTGACCCATTTTTGAAGTAAACTGTGTACTTTCTGCTGAGTGATAAACAGAGTAGCAGCTACTTAACCCAAAAGAAGCCAAATTGATGAAATCTCTGGAAAACAAAAATCAGCAGATGTACTTGGAGTCTGAGTGCCTTTACCCTTTACACTTTGTGCTGCCTCATGGAGCTGTCACAAGAGTGTTTTGCTTTCCTGGTTGCCACTTCAGTCGGTGACACAAGTCGTGTCACCCTCTCGGATTCACAGCCCCAGCTCATTTCTGCTAGCAGGAGTGAGCAAATAAAGGAACCTTGAACCACTTTTTCTAGAGTAACTGAGCCAGGAAGCTGCAGGATAGTCAGAACTGATACACAGATCAATGTGCTCTGCTGCAAACTGCTCTAACTGCAAAAACAGTAACAACCCCAAAACCCACACAATGTAATTTGAGAAGCTAAAGGTTTTAAAAGGGAGAGATTTCTGTGTTTCTTAGCAAAGGAATCTCTAATTCCCTCTAGGAATCCATACTATATGCACTTCTGAAATTTATTCTGTAAGTGACTGGACACAGTTTTGGCTTAAGGTATTGTTTGTCCTTTTTTCAATGTGATTTTCTACGGTAAGATTATCTTTCAGCCAATTATTTCTACAGTTACAGCTCTGAGAGGCAAATGGGAAGTTCAGGCAGCCAGTGGGATTTCAAGGATTGCCAAAGCATTTAGGCATTTCCCAGAATCCCAATTTGTGCTCACCTACATCTTTTGGAATCTGCATTAATCTGCATCACTTTGTGGCAATTATTGTTGTCAATATCCTGTTCTCATTATAAACATTGATCATCCACAGGGCAAAGTGATCAGCACGAATGGAAAGTGACATTGTAAACTTTTCTTGTTTTTCTGAAGGTGTCAAGAAAACCACTAAGAAACAACAGGTCATTGTTTTTTCACACACACTTTTTAGTTACGATCCAATCAGGCAAATAGCTACGAGGAAAATGCTTCTAGGCCCCTCAACTCTTGCTGCTCTAAATGGGCAGAGAGGACAGCAGTGTTTGTTGAAGAGCAGCTTGGGAGGCTGTAAAGCCTTAAAAACAGACTGGGAAAGATGAAGCACCTGTGTGTGATGCAGACACACCCCAGACCTGCCCAGCTCCCTCTCCCTCCCCCATCCAGGAGGTCTGAGAGCTCCTATTGTCAAACCCTTATCTGGTCTGTTGCCACTTTCAAAAAAAGTTCTTTGCTGAATCACTTGGTAAACAAAAGAGGGAGGAAGAAAAAGCTTTTCAACTGATGCAAAGCTTTCATACCTTTGGGTTTTAACAGACTGTACTCATGCATCATTACTGGCTAGTACCTGACAATGAAAGAAAAGAAAACCCAAAGATCCCACATTCTTGGCACCATAGAAAGAAATAACAGCTTAAAATGGCTCATTCTATTTCACCACTCCTTAGATTTCTCTCTGCAGTGATTCATCAGTCCCTGGTTAAAAGGTTGTACTCCTACTGAAACAAGGACTCAGGATGGGAAATCAAGTTTTGCTTGCAATTCTTTTTAGCAAGTTTCTCAGGCAAACATTAGCAAAGAAAGAAAATATTCATTCACTCTAGGAGACCCTCTCTTAACTTAGAGCTTCACCTAGTTTGTACTCTGAGTTGTGCCGTGCTCCTTGTTTAGGATGATGTTTATGATTTCGCCCTCGTGTTCTTTCATGTGATCCAGCAGATTTTCTTTGTTGGTAGACTCAAAGCCACAAATGCAGCAGCAGAAGAGGAGAACACAGTATTCTGTGCCAAGGTGGGGTAGAGTGGAGTTCTTTTCTAAACTGCATGAGGTATTCATCAAGTTAGGCTTTTCATTTTCATCAGAACCTGACATTTCATTCCCAGTCTGGGTAACAGACTCTGTGAAAGACACCAAGTTGTCTGAACCTCTTAGGATAGGGACTGTACTTTCATCTGTGCCTTCTAATAAGGTTTTGTCAGTGAGCTGTCCTTGAAACCTGAAATAATAACAGAAACCAAAACAAATATCAAAATGTACAGTTGCTGCTTTTGGATAGGAACTTTATTTTGGATCAGAGTTGGGGCCTTTGTAAATTCATCTGATAGGGCTCGACAGGAAATCAGACATACCTACTGCTCTGTGAAATTGCATCATTAATAGCCTTGTTCACTTGCTCATAGTTGTAGTTTTGGTCACTTGCATGTTTCCACATGTGGGACTTCAGGGATGGGGGATGGCTACATACATATCCACAGAGAGAACATCTAGGGCAAAAAGAGAGCAGGAAAAAGAGAAACATTTCATTAGTTTAGCAATGGATTAGTTCTTCCCAAAGGATGAGTAAACAGAGAGACCCATGCCAATCTTCTCCTTGGTCCCCCTTCTCAGTTTCCTAACTAGGTCAGGTTAGTTTGCAAAGTTTCATCCTGAAATCTAAGGCTATTTTTAGGCTCTGAGAATTCTGAAGTCTGATTTTTCTGATTTCTTCAACAACTAAGTTAAAATCTTATCTGTTTAGCACATTGAAACACTATTTAAACACTGCAGAAACGCAGTATTTCTGATGGCTGCAGAAACACAAAGCTCATGGGTGTGAGATCTGGCAGGCAGTGCTAAATAAAGTCTTTCCTCGTGTAGCATTCTTAGTTAAAGGATCACAGGATTGTTGTGAGACCACCAAGCCCAATCCAGGACCAGCTACAGTAAGTTGCTAAGGACAGTGTCCAGGCAAGATTCAGACCATTTTCTTCATAGTTTTCCATCAGCTCAGGCACCACAAGACCAAGTTGTCTATACAGCACAGAACAAAACCTTGTGGAGTAAATCCTACTTAGAGAGATGTAGAGTCTATCTGTGGACACAATCCAAGACTGATCAAACCCCACACAGCCTTTTCCATACATGAACCTACGACAGAGCAGCTTTTGATGTGTTTCCTAGGATGATAATTAGTCACCTCAGCATGAAGGAGGTGAGTGATGCTGCATGACACCAGAGCAGAACCACACACAGTAAAGATGATGTTCAGTATCCTGGTCTGGGCACAGCCTTTGCACGTGTGTGTCAGAAGATATTGGCATTACCTATTAGGAATGAGTAGGAACAGTCACTAAGTGATGAGTGTCCTTTGCAGTCTGTCCATACCTGTGTGTGGTCTGTGTATACAGGAGAAAGTTGGCAAAAATGTGTGCAGTTGTCTGCTACTAATTGGCAACAGAAAATAAAAGCTGGGAAAGGAAATCAGGAATATTCTGGCTATTTCTTAGCAGAAAATTTTCAAGGCAGTAGGAAGAATCCAAGTAAAGCACAGTCACATAAAGGTTTCTTCTCAAGGAAAGCTGCTTCTACAACTTCCAAGCCCTTCCACTGCATCTTTCCCCAAAACATTCCTGGATGCATTAAGTTCTACCTGTTCTGCTGTCACACTTCACACACTACTGCTGAGTGCTCCTAGTTATTCCCAGAGGTTACTGAAAACCTCCACACTTGGTCCCTGTGTCTCCAAGGAATTAATCTATCAAAAGCTGCAAGATAATAACACCCAAACAAACCCCAAACAACTTTTGGGAACAAAGATTGAATCTAGGAGGGGAGAGAATGGAATCTGAACTCTGCTTTGTTTCTTAACGTAACAACACGACTACTGTCACAGCTTTTGCCAAGCGAAGTCACATACTTGTACTGTTCCATTAGCTGCACTGCCTGATGCTCCGGGGGGTGTCGCCTCATTCGGCGTTTCAAGCTATTCACATTTGTGGTGGCGAAGTCACAGACTCGACACCTGAAGAGACAACAAGAAGTGAACTAATCTGACGATCAGCTGCTAACACTGTGCTGAAAATCACAACTGAGCAGAAAGCAAAGGCAGCTAGAGAGGCTACAGTTCAAGACCAGCAATATTTACAGAAGTCCAAGTGATGACATTGACCTGCAGCTGTTGGGCAGTGAGAATCTTCTGCAGCCCAAAGAAGCCTCCACCTTTCAGCCAGAATCACTGGATGTATGGACTGTGTCCCTTCCTGACACCTATCCTGTGCACCTCTGCTGATGGGGGAAAGCCCCACTAAGGAGAAGGAAGATGAAGATGCAGCTGACTGGAGGAAGATGTGAGGTGTTATGCCATGGCAGGACATGACCATGAGAGCTACAGGGCACACAATGTCTTCAGACACGAGTCCTGCTCCTCAAAGAATACAAGTTCTACTTAATGCAACAGCCAAACTATCAATTTAGTAATGAAACAGATACCTAAGTTTCAGGGCATTACAGCTGAAGTGGAAGTCAGTGACAAGATCAACACATTTAGATTCAAGGTATCACATCATGCTGTCCAGATTTTACTATTTATTTTTCACTTCTGTCATACTATCTTCGTATGAAAACAATACATAAACCAGTCTGGATCTGGATTTAGCTTCACAGATTTAGATCCCAAAGTATTAGACAAGTTCTACACTATTGATAACTATCAATATACTACCACACAACCTTCTGTATGTAACACTGAAACAGAAACCATCAAGCTCAGCTAAAACTCTCACACATTTGTTAGGACTTCAGTTACTTCTTTCTTTAAAATGATAAAATGTCCAATATTTAGCAAGTCTGGCCTGTAGTGTGAAACAGAGACTGTAGGATACTTAGCCTGAAATTCCTCATTTTATTTCAGGGTGTTGAGTTTCCAGAATTTCTATCAAAAAGACAGAAGTATATTAGCTCCAAAAGTCTGTTAACTCTGATCTATTTTGTAGCCACTAGAGAGGGGCAGAGCTCCACACTGAATGAGCACAGACTGAACTTGCAGGAATTTATGCAGCAACCACAGGATTTACCCCTGAGCCTCCTCTTCTCCAGGCTGAACACCCCCAGCTCCCTCAGCCTCTCCTCATGGCACTCGTGCTCCAGTCCCTTCCCCAGCCTCGTTGCTCTTCTCTGGACCTGCTCCAGCCCCTCAATGTCCCTCTGAGCTGAGGGGCCAGAGCTGAGCACAGGACTCAAGGTGTGGCCTCAATCTTCATCAGAGTTTGAGCCAAGCACCAGGTGTGGCTCCTGCAGTTCTGTAGCTGCAGTTCCTCAGCACCTTCAAACAAACTCCAGCCTGGCAGAGGCGGGTCAGGAGGGTCAGGCTCCCCAGCACTCACCTGTATGGCTTGTCGGAGCTGTGGATGCGCCGGTGGTTCCGCACGCCGACGTACGTGGTGCTGGTGTAGTCACACACGTCACACCTGTACAGCTTCTGAACAGAGGGCTTGTTTCCTATGGAAACAAAATCCATCATTGCACACCAGCACTGGAAGGAGATCTCTGAGTGTTTAGCACAACTGAACTACAAAGCACAAATGAACAGTTTAAGGTCATAGTTCTGAGTATCTCTAAGTATCTGATAATTTACAAGTGCTAAAGTGGCAAGGGACACAGAGGTAACAAAGGTATGGTTGGTTTTTCTGTGCTGCTCTGAATTTACCCTGCTATGTGCTGCAATGACTAAACCCTTAGGAAGACACATTCCCTCTCTGTGCTGACACTTCCCCTCTCCTTGCAGTTGGGTGAAATCCTGTTACAGCAAAGGGTGATGAAATGTGGGCACTGCTGGACCCAACAGCTCCACTGCTCTGCAGGATGCATCAGCTCAGAGGAACAGAGGAGGATTCAGAAAGGATGAGGTGCAAACTGGCAACACAGCAAAGCAAAGCCAAAGCCTCTAAATCCTCCTTCTCACCCACGTACACTCACACTTTCTGAAGGATATGGTGATGAAAAAATAGATACTGACCAGATGTCTTAATAAATAATTTGGAGCGTCTCCAAATTACTAAAAAGCAATTGTAACAAAAATAATTTTTTCTTTCCAGAATGAAAAAAGGCTCTTGAAAAATTAATGGCTGCAGAGACCAAGGCTAATGACTCCTTTAACACAGGAAAATGTGTGCACACAGTTGGAATATGTTTGAGGTGTGCGTAGACTTACACAGCTCTGTTCCCTCTCCCTTACTGAACAGTGGAACTGATTTGGGTTAAGGTATTAACATTTGGGACGAGGGATGGGGGTTTTTATCCAGGTAATTCTCCTATTCCTATACTTTCTTTTTCTTTTTAGACCGAATCTTCTCATTATCAAAGTCTTTATGGTCTCTATTCCGGAGACATTGCAGGATAAACCAGTAGAATGAGTCATCCAAAATGGATGTTCAACTTTTTACTTGGATTTTTTTCCTTTACAGAGGTAGGCACTGAATTATGTCAAAAAGAGTTCTAGGAATATCATTCTGAGGGATACAGTCACAGAGCTAACTTAAACAGTAAGGGAAAATTATCGCTAATTAACCTTTCACTCCAAAATTCAGCACTTTTGGTTCAAGATGCAAAGTAACTAGGCAGGACTGGTACCCCCAGAGGGTTATTGTAAAGAATATGTAGTATAGGATATAAAATAACAATCTGAATGCAAAGACAGTCTGAAGCAAAATTCGAATCGTTCTGTGAGCACCAAGATAACAGACAATACATCTCCTGTTTTTCACTTTCCAACATGACACAGTGCTCACTCCTCCAAGCAATGCTGTGCAAGCAATGTTTTCCATCTTAAACTCTGCAGCTTTGCAGTAAACTGCTGCCAGTGTATTTCCTGTGAGGAATTTGGCACTGTACTGGGCAGGCAGCTCCAAACAAACTACCCAAGGAGGCTTTGAAAGCATTATGCAAACACATGAGCTCTGGGTCCCTCTGAGTGGCTCACACCAGCACCACACACCCAGGAGCAATTATTTACACCACTCACCACTCTGTATTTATGCCCCCAACAAAACGCACCTAAATTATGCCACATCATCACAAAAGAGCAGCCGTGTCCCTCACCCCCACACTGGCTGAGTTCTTGGGGCTCTGGGGCCTGTTGTGCTTTCTGGGTGGAGAATATCAGATCTCTGACAAGTGAGGGTGGAAATGACAGAGCTTTGCTGCAGCAGCAGTAACAGGTGCTCCTGTAATGCTCTTATTACCCTATTCCTTCATTATTAGACATTTACAATCCGCTCATACCCAGTGTCACACACTCCCCTGTAATTTATTGTACAACCATGATGAATAAAGGGACTTTTAGGACTAACTATTTCATAAACAAGAAATGAAACTGTTCCAGCTCAGGCATCTTTCACATAAACAGATGCCAGGCCATAAACTTCTTTGTTTTGTGTGGCTTTATAGGGATGACATCTGTTTGACAAGAGATTGCTGTACTGCAGTGGGGTTGCAATTTGATTATAAATTGGTTCAGAAATGATTTAAGCATTCCACAGTATGAGTTAATAAAAGTTTAAAAGGGGAACTGTTTTCATCCAAGCCACATCACTAAATTTCATGTGGGGTAAACAATCAATTAGCATGCATGGCTGTAACACTTTCATAAGATAAGAATGAGAGAAAATAGTAAAAAGATCTCTCAAGTAGCTGAATTGAAAGCACAGAGATTTCTCAGGCAGTGGCTCCTCTGTCATGGAAGTTAAGTTTCAAGATCAGGATATAAACTGTAAAACAACATCATTTAAACATACTAATTTCAAACCCAGATAGGACTCCTGATTTCCAGTCACCTTAACATGACTTTAGCTCAACAGGTACAGGATGTCCCAAAACCCAAGAGTTTTCTAGCTTTTACCCTCCTGGTTCTCTCCCCCATCCTGCTGGTGGGGCAGGGTGGGAGTGGCTGTGTGGTTCTTGGTTGGAGTTAAACCATGACAACTAGTTTATACCAAACAAAGCATTGTTAGAAGTAATAGTCCAAGCTGTGCTCATAGGTATTTGTAACCAGCTAAACTGACAATGTTTTATCTCCTGTCAGTTCATTAGAACATTTATGCTACTGCTTCTGAACAAAAACCCAGTCCTTAATGGAGAACACTACCAGCAGACCGTCCCTAGCCTTTCTCCTGGCTCCCCCTGACTTCAGCTGCCTCTCTCAGCCGTAGGTCTTAGGGGTGTACTGAGCACTACAGATCAACTCCTGAATTGAAATGCCTTCTGCATTGATGAGAGCAAAACGCAGCTGGGAAGGGTCATTTACCTGAGGCTGATAAGGTAATTAACTTTTTGGTTTCTAGCTTGTCTACTGAGAGCCAGAAAAGGAGGCAGCATGAGCTAAGAGAACAGAAGGCTGAAGTTGGGGATCTCATCCTGTCCTGCTATGTCCTGTGCTGCTCTGGACATATCCCCGATGGCCCAAGCCATCCACCCTGGCTCCTGCCTTTTCTCCCAGGGAGTTGCACCTATTTCAGTGATTACTTCTGCACACCCTGACCAGCTGCAGAGGAGAGAGCAGAACCCAGAAACTTCCACTGCAATCTGAGTACTATTATAGTGCACGTTTTGCTGGCTAAACAAACAAGAGACCACAGTTAGGACAGAAAAGAGCTATGTGCACCAAATGGAAATACTTCAGCTCACAGTTGTTCAGAGACAATATAATTACTGGTGTTTTTCCACAGAGCTCTAAAATTGCAAAGTATTAATAATTACAGTGTTGCCTTCCATATAAAAATGCTGTAAATATCTTCAGTAACTGTGACTCACCAGAGAAGAGGATGCATTCACACTGCACTAACAACTACCAGCTCTCCAGGACACTCAAAGGATTTTAAGGCCACACTTTCTCCTAAATTTCAGTGTTTGGCTATTTTTCCCCTCTATTTGATTACCTTAACACGTCAAGGGTTTGGTTTTTTCGCTGCTGTTGCTGTTTGTAAAGCAAACACTATTAGATGCTAAGCAGATACAGTTAAACAAACACGGGCTCTGGTCAGGGGGAGCTGTCCCTGCCCCAGGCAGGAGGTTGGAATGAGGTGATCCCAACCCATTGCAGGGCTCTGTGAAAATGCATACCTACTGTTACCCAGGCAACTATTCACATACAGGTTGCATATTCAGAATGCCTTAAATCTGCCTCTCTAGGGCTAAAATAAATGACTCATTTTGGACATTACCATAATTAAACAGGAATTTCTAACCCGGGAATGGATGGCATTGTATGTATATGCTGACAGCAAACTACATTACCATGGTGACTCTAAAAAAAAAGGCTTTCTTTTGTTTACTGTAGGTGAATTGGAAAATCTGAAGGAATTAGCTGCCGAAGGAAGAAAAAAAAGATTTGTTTCTTACAAATTCAGAGCAATACTCCTTTGTTGTTTTTCACAAGAAGAAATACAAGGTCCAGTGTCCCACCTAAAAATAAATGCCAGTCAGATACCTCAAGACTGACTGTGCTAAATTTTGCACTCTGAAAAGAACACATGTTTAAGGTTATGAACAGGCAGGAAAACATTTTGGTGTTGAACAAGATCTTAAAAGCAGTTATACAAAGGCAGCAAACAGAAGTGATGTTATGAGTGACTTTTTGTAATCTCAAGTGTAAATACAAACAGTACCTTCTCTGTCATCTGCTTCAGTGGAAACTATTAGCTTGTTTGATGCAGCTGTTGAAAAGAGATCTGGAAGACTGTGTTGCTCTCTTTCGTGATTTCGCAGTTGGCTCTGAAAAAAACAGTTTCTCGTGTTTAAACACACAGCACAAACATACAGTGAGCATGAAATACTGCAATCATCTGTGCCATTGTTACACAACCACAGAGGGAAAACCAGAACGATTCGTGCTTCAGCGTGTCTTGTGTCACCCCCAAATGCCACAACCACATTGGCACACCCACAACTAGCAGGGATGTTTGAGCAGTTTAGTTTCAACTAAATTCTCTGATGTTTCAATTTCTTCCTGTAGTTGCTACATGCGGGCAGAAAAACAGCACAACATTATCACGTCCATAAGACGATTCTCAGGAAAATAACTGGTGTGAGGAATCAAGTTTATTTCAGTGGGTCAACCAGAATAATTACAGCTGAATTGTACCTTCAGCAAGCTCTGCTGGCAATAACCCCTAACTGTCCTGGCAACGAAGCCACGATGTCAGGCTGAGTGAAGTGGAGGGATCAGCAGCTGCTCCTACAGCCGCGCAGGGGGAGGAGCTTTACCTTGTAATGGAAGGACTCCTCGCACTGCTTGCACTGGTACATCCTGGTCTTGCAGTGGTGGATCATGTGGCTCTCCAGGTCCTTGCTGCTGCGGGCGATGTGCTCGCAGATGGGGCACTGGTAGGGCTGTCTCTGGCGGTGCACGCGCAGGTGCTGTTTGATGTAGCCCTTGTTGCCGCTGCTGTAGTGGCAGAGGCGGCAGCGGTAGGGCCTGTCGGCGCTCGCCAGGTACTCCACCAGGTTACTGCCCGCAGCGCCCGCCTCGCCCGCGTCCTGGCACTGAGCATTGTCCTGCAGCTCCTTCAGAATGTCGTCGTCGGAGGCGTTCTGGTCCGTCCTCTCCTTCAGCTTCTCGATGACCGTCAGGAGGGACATGCTGATGCCCATTTTAATCGGTGCCTCTGACAGCTCTGGTCGCTGCTTCTTGATCTCCACTATTGCACATTCGCTTTGGTTTAAGCCGCTAAGCTCCTGCGGAGGTTCCTTCAGTGACGGTGCCACTTTAGGAGGAGTCAGGCCTGGGCCATCAGCTCCTCCCTGTCCCGCACCTGCAGCCACAGAGTCCTCCCCAGTCAGAGCCCTGATGCCAGGCCGTGTCAGCTCCGCAGCTCTGATGGGCATCGTAACCAGAGCCTCTGCTGCCAAGGAGTGCAGTCGTAAGGACTCGGAATTCGTCCTCCTCCGTGCAGGAGGCACATTCTCATCAGCTGTGACACTTTTAGCAGCGCTTAATTCATTCTCTCTCTTCTCAGTACTATTCCATTCTATTATTACTTCTTGAATTTCCCCTGGATGATAAATCTGGTCAGGCTCGTCACAGGTAACGTGGGACTCCTCAGAGATTAACTTTTTTTCCGTTTCGATGTCAGTGTTCATCAGGAATGGCTTTTGTAAGACACTTTCTTCAGCCCCTGGCAAACGCTCCACGATGACGTTAACGTGGCCCTTTTTGTTTGGACTGCAGTTGATGATTTTCTGGGCTGAGGACAGGAGGCTGTCAGTTATCATACTGTCTGCTTCTGTATCTGATACAGTCTCCTCTACAACCTCTGTTGCAGGGGAATGCACCACAGACTCATTTATTATCTCCTCCTCCTTTGCACTCGTTCCTACAGGCGATTTACATGAGAGTTGCTCAGAATTGCAAATCTGAAGTTGAAGAGAAGGTTCACTATGGAGATCGAGTTCACTGTTTTCCAAAGAAAGGACAACTGTATCCACACTATGAGGCGTGTGAGTTACCACTGTCTCTGACAGGCTGGTAGTCTCATTTTCTTCCTCAAAGATGGGATAGGAGCAATCAACCTCCCCTGCATGTTTCCAGGCGTGTGTTTTCAGCATTCTCTGCTGGCCACAGGTGTATCTGCAGATGAGACACCGGTACATGCCATACTGCTCATACGTGTACCACTTCCTCCTGCCCACTGCAGGCACAGGGGCAGACTGGCCTGGATCCTTACATTCCAGATTTCCTGCCTGCTCAGTCCCTGATTTGACACTGCCTTCCGCTGCCCCTTGCAGAAATGAACTTGTGACATTCACGCACTGCTGCACTTTTGACTGGATGTTATTTTTACTACCATTCTCATGGTAATTTTGGAAGTGGGATTCAAGTTCTTCTTGGCTTTTGGAAGCAAAATGACACTCTGAGCACATTAATATCACTTCGTTTTTCTGCCCATGTTGTTTTATGTGTTCTTGTAGTGTTAAGAGAGAAGGTGATAGAAACTTACATAGACTACACTGGTAGCACGTCACCTTGTTTTTGCTTTGTGGAAGACATTCAGTCACAAAATACTCTGCTTGTAACTCTTCAGTCTTTTTGGTAGCAATCACTGATAGCTCAATTGTCTTAGCTGGGATTTCACCAAGATCATCTGTGTCCAAGGACTGTGCAGAACCATCGGGATGGGAACGTTTCTTCCCTATTAAAAGGCATCTCTGTGACTTCTCACTTTCAACTATTTTGCTTAGCTTCTGGATAACATGGATCAGTGGATCTGTTTTACATTTTCTCTGATCTTCACTGTTCTGCAGTGCTGGGCCAATGACTGTTTCAGAAATCAGCACAGCCTCCTGCTCCCCAATATTTGGCATCAATACTGCAACAGTGCTTCCTTCTTCCATAGTACCTGGGAGAAAGGGGGTCATAAAAATTCAGGTTTATACATGCTCAAATATAAAAATACACCCCCAGCTCCCTCAGCCTCTGCTCATGGCACTTGTGCTCCAGTCCCTTCACTAGCCTCGTTGCTCTGCTCTGGATCTGCTCCAGCCCCTCAATGTCCCTCTGAGCTGAGGAGCCCAGAGCAAAATGCTACTGATGCTGCTTAATACAGCTGGACAGAACATTCCCCAGAGCCTGTAACATCCTGCCCTCCAGCTGTACAAGGGCAAGACAAATATTTTCAAGTGTAAGCTTGAAAATTGTTCCAGCTCTTCTCTTTCTGTTTACAAGGACTCCACATCTGAATGCTGAACACTTAAATACCAACCAATAGTAACTGGTGTATTTATGTTTAAAAGCCAGGGTAGGATATGAAAATGTGTTCCTAACATCCTTACTCTGATCCACTGATGTCTCCTAAAGCAAATGACAATTTGAAACAATATAATTTACAAAAATAGGCAATTTTTTTGCCTTGAAATGTTAACAGAAGAAAGTAGTTCTGGCATCTACTTGCATTAGTCATTTCACTATGACTATTTTAAAAACCATTCAAATGCCAAATCATCCTTCTCATTATAAATGTAATTTTCTAGAAAAACTAACTGTAGCTTTTCCTACAATTCCTTAATTGTTGAGAAAATCAATTGGTACTGAAGTTAAAAAGAGCAATTCCTTTCTGTTTTGTGGGAAAGCTACACAGCAGCAATTTCCACTCACACTTCCTTTAAGCATATCTAACCATAAACCACAGCAATAATGTGGTACTGCTGAAGGTTAAATTACAAACCAATATATATAAATTTACATGAAGACAAACTCTGTGGTGTGGGCAGAGCTGTGTGGTGAGGGAGCTGGACAAAAGTCTTACAGTGAAACTTACTTCTGAAAAAATCTCTACAAATAACCTATTCAAGTGCCACTACATACATATATGCATTTTATAAAGGGTTTTTTCGTACTATATATAAAATTGAGAACAAGGAGATTAGGGATATTGATCAGTTATCCTTGGAAATTTATGCCAAATTCTTTCATGTGGAGTTTTGGGGATTTTTTTGCAAGAAAGATAGGCCAAATCAGAACTTCTACAACTGGTCCTAAAGACCATGAAATCCACTGTTTTCTACTTATGGAGTTAGTATGCAGCAATATAATGCACAGGCATATGGGAGTGGGTTCTGTGGAGTCCCTTTCCCTCTGCAGCATAATTCTGAGCAGAACTACTCAGGTTACCTTTATTTGCCATTCACCTCACAATTCAGGTTATCATCGCATCAGAATAAACAATGTTAGTATCATTTGCACCTCATGTTAAGTATTTCAAGTTGAAAACTGTTCCTTGAAACCCACCCTAGTCACTTACACAAAAACACTTTGCTGTTTGTTTCATACTTGCTGCAACATGTTTAGAAAACATTATGAAAAGTAAACAAATGTGGTTTTCTCCCTGCAAGCAGATTTAACGTTACATAAAGTGCTCAAAGGAATAATGTCTACTTGAAATGTTTTCAATTTGAGAATGAGTTAAGGAAAATTATAAGGACAAAGTGTTACTTTAAAGTACACTTTGGTACTTTTACAACTTTGGAAGTAACGCTAAATAGGCAAATATTTCCCCCACATTTTTCTTCTGAAAGCAGCACAGACTAAGAGGAAACACCATAGAAGAAATATGCTGCCACATACTGTTGCTATGTCAAAAATGCAAGCAGAGTGTGTCTTCAGATGTATTGATTTGGGATGCTTCAGGCTAAGTTATCAGATATATAACTGTGGTATGTACCATGTCCCTCTTTGTTTGGGGTGACTTCAGTGCTTACTGCTGCACACTTTGGTTTTTAGAGGGATGGTAAGAAGTGTACACACATTATCTGGATTTTATAAAAGTCATTCAATCTCCCGTGACATAAACCTTCAGTCTGGCACGACCCATACAGTAATTAAAGCCTGGGGTCTCGGGATGGCAGAGGGACCCGGAGGGGCAGATCCTGCCCAGAGGAAACCGCCTCCGCGCCGGAGCTGCCCATCCCAACCCGTGTCAGACACGCACTCGAGCAGCACGGCAGGGGCAGGACGAAACGCCTCCGGCTCCAGGAAAAGCCAAGCACGTTTTGCACAACAGCCTGGCTCGGAGAGGTACCGCTCCGATCGCACCGCGGCTCCCGAGGGCACGGAAAGCGCATCAGCGCCCGCTCTCGCTGCCAGCGCCGGACCCGAGCC